CACAGAGCCCTCCTCAGAGCCTTCCCCAGACTCCAGGACTGGCCCATCTTCCTCCCCAACCTCCTCCATGTCCGAATCTACTACCAGCTCCGCTTTGGAGCCCCCCTCCCCATTTTGGAATTCTGGGAGTTGAAATCCACCCATCTTAAAGTTGCCAAAGTTGGAAGAATGCTGGTTTAAGCAAGGATGCGGATTTTGAAATAATAGAAAAAAAACAGAAACCGCTCGGGTTTTAGATTTCGGCTGCGGTTTCAATCCTGGTTTAGGTTTGTATGGACTCTTGTCTCCTGGAGTTCCGCTGGAGAACCCACTTCCTTTTTGATGGGGGTTTTGCTTGTTCCCATTTTGTTTCCCGAACATTTCATTACCAGACGAGATAACATCATCAGTGGCATAGGACAAAAAATAAATGAATTTTTTTGATATTACCTTGTCTGTCAGGAATGAAGTATGAAACAAGTTTGGAGAGCAAACCACTGCCAAAAAGGAAATGGGTTGGCCAGCGGAACTCCAGGAGACAGGAATCCACACAGATGTAAACTAGGATTCAAACCGCTGCCAAAATCTAAAACCCGAGCTCTTTGTAGGTCCAGCGGAACTCCAGGAGACAGGAATCCACACAGATGTGAACCAGGATTCATCCAATTCATCTTAGAGGCAGTGGGGGAAAAATCACCTTTTTCACACCAGATCCCGGTCCATCCGAGCCCACAGAGGCAGGCTCCATCTTCTGGCAGACACAGGGCGCCATTTTGACAGGCGCACACCTGGCTACAGTTGAACCCGTAACGATTGGCCGGGCAGTCTGTTGGAGAAGCGAAAGCGGGAGACGCTGAACCCCCCCACAACTGTGGGTCGGATGTGGCTCTCGATAGAATGCAAACACCCCCAAAAGCATCGAAGGAAGCCCCCGCTGAATGCATAATGCACCGGAATCCTTCGCTTGGGAGGGACCCCCTGAGGTCATCTACTCTAACCCGCGTGCAGGATGCTCTGTTGTTAGAAACTGAACAAAGTGGACACAGCTGGAATGAACCAGCCTCGAGTGGTTTGTTTGTGTATGTGTGTGATAGATAGATAGATAGATAGATAGATAGATAGATAGATAGATAGATAGATAGATAGATAGATAGATATAGAAATAGAGAAAGAGAAATAGCGAGAGAGAGATAAATAGATATAGATAGAGATTAGATAGAGAGATAGAGAGAGAAATGGAGATGATAGAGAGAGAGAGAGAGAGAGATGATAGATAGATAGATAGATAGATAGATAGATAGATAGATATAGAAATAGAGAAAGAGAGAGAGAGAGATAGGAGATATAATTAGAGAAATGGAGATGATAGATAGATAGATAGATAGATAGATAGATAGATAGATAGATAGATAGATAGATATAGAAATAGAGAAAGAGAGAGAGAGAGATAAGAGAGAT